AGAGCTAATTAATATGGGCAAATCAGAGGAGGATTATCAACGCCTATTCAGAGCAATTTATGAGGGTTAGGATGCCATAGGAGAAGAAGCTGTGGCCAATCTCGTCAAGAGCATGGATAGTCGAGTGAATGCGGTCATTGCGGCCAAAGGATGGTACACCAGATTCTGAATATCGACTGCCTATTTAGGAAATTAGGCCAGCCTCAATCTCTGAATATCAGTGAACATTTTGAGCTATTTTTCATTAGAATCCAAAGAGTTCATATCTTACTATGGTGATTTGTATGAAGAGAGTCGATAATGTTGGTGGGGTACGAAAGTGGGGTTGGTCAGATACTTTTGCACTAGTACTGTATTATTCAAGGAGACAATTTCTTTGGGAACGAGTTGCTATTTGATTACCACTTTCACAAGAAATCATCATGCTTTTCTAAGCAATCCAAGTAGGCTCTCCAGCAGTTTGCAGCGGCTGAACCTTGCATCAAGCTGATGTTTGAGCGCCTATTCATGGGAAATGTGATGATTGGAGTAAGATGTAATACTAGACTTGTTTCCTTGAGAATAGAACGTGTCATCTTATTAACTGACAATAGCACTCATTACTGCCTGCAGTACAACTTGCCAAAGCCTCTGATCGTTGCTTAATTGCCTAGTCGTTCTGCTAATCGAGTAATGAGATTCTCATGAGCCTTGCTCCGAACCGTAATCTTGACGGGGAATGGCTCATCTAAGGCATCATGGCGCAATTGGCGACTATCAGATTTTCCGTTCTAGACAAATATCAGCCAGAGCTGACGTACGATTGGAGACAAGTCTTACAGCGATAAAGTCAAAGCAGTAAACAAGTCGTGAATAGGCAAGGAAAAGCTCTTGCTGAGCAACTTTGTAGCCGACACAAATACGTCGTCCGCCTCCAAACTGCCAAAGGCCTTGAGTGACGCTGTCTTCCTTGCCATCGAACCATCTTTCTGGTTTGAACTGGGCAGCGTCTACAAACTCCTGGCTGATCGCCAGTGAGTTGATCACAAAGTCCGTGCCGGCAGGGAAGTGGTAACATTCAAACTTGAGGTCCTGCGTTAGATGATGCTGTGGAATCAAAGGTACAGTCGGCCTCCAGCGCAGACACTCCTTAATCATTGCAGAGATATAAGGCAACCTCTGCGTATCTCTGAGTTCAGGCAGGCGCTGGGCGTTGCTTCCACAAATTCTGTCAATCTCCTCTCTTGCCTTCTGCATGAAATCAGGGTAACATATCGCTGCCATAACAAAAGCGTTGATAGTCATCCTCACGTTGTCGCTACCAGCTGCGACTACCGATGTTGCGAGATACATGGCTTCTTCGTCATCTCTGGAAATTTCGCGCTGGTGCGTAAAAGCACATCCTTAATAAACGAGGGCGGCGCGGCCCCTTCGGCAATATCGTGTTTGATAGGTGCCCACCAAGCTTTGAAGACATTGTAATGGTCTTGCCCAGCTGCCTCCCAGTATTTCCTCCATGGTTGAAGTAATTTTGGTAATCCGGCGAGTACTGGGAAGAAGTCAACGAAGCTATTATTTATGCTGCGGATGAACTCGACAGTAACACGTTGAAAATCGTCTAGCTGCTCTTGTGTCTGCCGAGGTCGCTCGCCTGCCACGATACGATAGATAATCGAATAGGCGTACCGGTAGTGGTGTAGGTACCATTGATTGGGTCGTTCAATGTAGTTGGCCAGCAGCTGGATGTTCTCCGAGTCTTGCACCTTCTCATATTCTTTGAGCGCTGTTCCGCTAAGTAAGTGATGCATCACTCGTCTTCCCTCATGCCATTCTCTGGTTTGACGTAATACTGTTCGCTTGTGACGACTGACAAGTCCACTGGCAACTGGAAGATAGGGTCGTTCACCAGTTATATTTGCCCGTTTGGCAATGATCTCTTGAACCGCACGACTGCTGTTCAGCATTACCCAGGTGCTGTTGCCCATGCGCAGGGTGGCCATCTCCCCAAATCGAGACAAAGAGGTCAGCTGTGAGAGAATATTAGCCTGCAAAGATTCTGGAAACACATATCAACCTACATAAGTGGCTATTTGGCCTGTGTTACCTCGAACTTTTCGCATTTGAAGCAAATTGCCAACAATAGGGAGACCTGGAGGTCCAGGAGGGAGTTTCCACCGCTTTTCAAATAAAAGCCGTGGTATTTCTAAGTTTGAAAACTGCAAAGCGCAGAAATACACAACCAGCAACATCAGCAGAGAAACCAGAGAGAGCTTGAAGCCAGGCTTTGCAGTGTCCCAGTAAGCTTGAATCAAGGGGATAGACATTGTGAAGCGCCCCAGAAGACAGAATGCCGGAGTCTTGTCATAAAGCCTTTCGTGAGCAAGCACATTTAACCTCTAAGTGGAACGCGCAGTAAATACCTCCTAGAATGTAGACCCTTGGCATAAATATTATGAGTTGCCAGCTAGATGTACTAGGCAGACTTGATACCCAGCTCACATTTGTGCAAGTGGCGATACTTACTGCGTCTCAACTGCTCAGAGCGTGGTTGGTAGACATACTCAGTAGATGCATGATGATCCGAGGTGGTCGGCTTCGGCTCAAATTGCAAAGCTCCAGCATGGAAGAAACACTTCCTGAAAGTAGATGTGGTCTGGCACAAAACATGGCTGACAAAACCCGGCTGTACACGTAGAGTGGAGGCAAGGGCAATGGGCATCTACAAGGGCAGCATAAGGGGATGCAAACGCGTAATAAGCAATGAAGGATATTGTTGGCCCTGTGTTCCAACTCCTACTTGCTGGACTCATGAAGTTTATAAAGACGTGACATTGCATTTGGTGATTACGTTTAAGACTATGGGCAAGTCGTGGAAACAGCCAATGTTACCAACATTTTCATGAAATACTAGTAGCTTACGATGCGGGACGTGATACATAAGTTACATTACAAGGCAAAGTCTCTATTTTCACCTACCCAGTTAGGTATGGTGTAAGCGTACAGCCAAATCCTTGGCGTCACGTGCCTGCGCGCCCTTGTAGATTAGCCTGCTCCTCCTTAGATAGATTCTGCAGATAGATAGAATCTCATCCATCCACTTCATCAACTGAGACTCTTCCACCTTGCTGCTGCAGCATGCAACGTGCCTATAAGCTGCCATCCTCGGGTGTTTGACAGTTAGCCCCGACTTCCTGGTATTCTCCTGCCCTAACCGTCCTTACTCATCCTGAGAGTTGTGATAGGCTGAACTTGGATTTGAATCCTGTAAAAAGCAAAATAAGGCGGCTAGTGTTACTTAGTCAGAAGATATCTGCTAGGATTTCTAGCAGAACCGGATACAAATACGAATCAAGACCACGCGAAGCGTTCGATCGTAAGGTGTCAAGATGAGGCCAAACAACTCGTTGCTACATTCTATGCCTTATCCTTGCGTAGAATACGGCAAAATGTTGTTGGATCCGTTCTGCGCTAATGACATCCAGACCCTTGAGGTAGCTGCAAATCTCCTACAAGCTTTGCCCATTCGTCATGCGTCGCTAGTAAGTGTAGTAGGTGTACCGTGCATAGGTACAGTATTACCTTATCGTGCATCCAAAGTACTCATAAACATCCTTCATACAACAGCGGGATCTAGAGCTCCTACTCCACCCCGATTTAAATCGCGTCTTAACTGAAAGAATGCTATAGAGCATATATTATACATACCGGAGCTCTTGCCCGTCCATTATCTTCACTTCGACAACGTTTTTCTGGAGCTTTGGCTTCGTAGCAACAATGGCTTTCATAGCTTGTACCATGGATGGCACTACATCCACCGCGTACACGCGGGCGGACGGCAGAACGTCAAGGAGTTCTTCTGTGGCGGCACCCGTCCCACAGGCGTTGTCAAGAAATAACGGGCGATGCGGGCAGGCCTGTGAGCAGTGCCGGAATGTGGCTCGCCACCACGCGGCACGCATGCCCGACACGATGTTCATAGTTTGTAATGACGGAGGCGAAGCCTGCAAGGTGGTCTTCGGTGCTAGGGGCTTGGGCCATGGTGCGTGTTGGTATGATAGGTGATATTTCGATGACCAAGAAGGTAGAACTGCAAGAGATAATTACAGTACTAGTAAGCCGATGTTGAACAGTTTGAGTGCCATTTGACCATGCGTTTCATATACGTTGTTACAGATCTGATACCCGTTTCGCGTGAGATTTACATGTACTTTGGTATCTAAATTCCGCGCTACACAGCATCTGTACGTATAAATACGCACTCTACACACTCATTCAGATAGAACAACTTGCTATTTTCACAGTGATCCGTTGATTAGTCAGCACAGTTCGACAGTAGACGATCAAGACCTTGGCTCAAGAGCAAGTAAGTAATTTCCAAGGCTTTGTGATCGGTGTTCTGTTTAATCATTAGCTACAATCAGCGGACGTGACCACCTTGTGATGCCCGCTGAAAGGCAGATTCTGATTTACAGGTTTGGTTGCCCGTCTACTTGTTTCATATCGTCACGCAGCATAGCGCGGTGAGCTTCTTCGTACCTCTCACATCTATTGCGTTCGTCCTCGTAGGACATGCACTCCCTTGCTCGGGAAGAGCTGCATAGTTCGACAGTGCTCTTAGCTGCTTGTTACACGAGTAAGCCTCGGCCGGAAAGTAGGTGGCTCTCTTACGTTGATCCAGAATTAACACAGATTTCTTCAATGTTGTCGAAAGTTTAATGATAAGTATTGCTAATGAGAATAGACTAAGCATGACGCAGATACTGTAAGTACTGTGAATACTATTTAGTGCTATACTTCAGGTATAGTCTGTTAGTGATGCAGTAACATGAGCGTACGTTGACGACTTTTGATGCACAACTCAGTATCATCACAAAAATACTGATAGGTTGAGATGCCTACTGGCAAAGTGGCAAGCAAGCTACATATTGGGCTAGGTTACCTGCCACCCGCGAGCGGAAACCTTGACCTTCACTTAGAGCTTTGTTTTGAGCCTCACCAGGTATCGAGTGCATTACATGAACATGGCTATGCCCCACAACCTAGCAGCACCGCTGAACTATGGGAAGAGACTTCTGCCCGTCCTCGTCGATGAAATTGCTGCTACTGATCCTGAACGAACATTCGTGTCAACTCCCAGGAGCTCTGATCTTGCAGACGGATTCATAGACATAAGCTATTGCGAATTCGCCAAAGCTGTGAATCGTTGTGCCTGGTGGTTACGCAAGGAGCTCGGAGAGCACACGGAGCAAAAGACCGTCCTGTACCTAGGGCCACTGGACTTGCGATATCTGATCATAATTTTGGAAACAGCAAAGGCAGGGCATATTGTAAGTCTTGAATGCTTGAGTGAGGCTCTGGTGAGAAATCCTGATTACTTATTGCCAGGTATTCCTCAGTTCTCATCGTAACAGTCTCGAGGCCCATTTATCGCTCCTCCAGAGGTCAGGATGCCAAACTGTTAGGCTCCCATCGCGACCACCTATTATTATCAAGCAAATCCTAAATGCGCGGCATATGCAGACAATCAACACGCCAGGGGTCGACTTCTTTATGAACGACTTCGACAGCGTCGAGCCTTTTCCTTTCACATTGACTTGGGAAGAGGCGAAGAATAAGCCTTTCTGCATTCTATATACTTTAGGCTCGATGGGTATCCATAAGCTGGTATTTGTCACTTACGGCACTTTTGCCTGTAATGATGCTCATCAGCCAGTCCCATCGCTGGGAGGTAAACCAACCCTCATCAGTTTCTACAAGGGGAAAAGACTCTTTCTTGCGTTGCCTCTTTTTCATGCCGCCTCCCTCAATTTTAGTCTCGGGCTCAATGTCCTCTCAGGATTCACCTGTGTGTTGCCACCACCAGAGCCGCTCACAGCAGACGTGGCAAACCAGATATTCACACATGGTAACCTTGACGGAGCGCTTTTGGCCCCATCTCTGATAGTTGACTGCTACAACAATGACGCATACTGCGTGAACATGATCTAACGTATTAAATTTCTATTTTACGCTGGAGGCGCGCTACCAGAAGAAATAGGGAATCTTCTTTCAGCCAGGATCAGGCTCTTAACACTGATAGGTTCATGCGAAACCGCACTTCATCCGCTCGAGGTAAACGAGGACCCGGCTGATTGGCAGTATCTTACCATCAGTCGATTTCTAGGTCATACCTTTCGATTGGGGAGAGATGGGCTGTATGAGCTTGTTATTGTACGTCAGAAACAGTGCGAACCCTTTCAGTGCGTTTTTGCAACGTTTCCAGACATGCAAGAATTTGCTGTGGGCGACCTCTTCGAACCGCATCCCAGAAGGCCAGAATCTTGGATCTTTAAAGCTAGGACGGACGATATCATCGCGTTCACTACTGCTGAGAAACTGAATCCGATCACTATGGAGAGCGTAATATTTGCGAATCCCAAAGTCAGATCCGCGATAATCGGTGGTCAGGCGGAGTTTCAAGCCTCGCTCTTGCTCGAACCCAAGGTCCATCCGAAAACGGCCGCCGAACAGGAGCAATTTATCAAAGAAATGTGGCCAAGCATTGCACAAGCGAACCGCGATTGTCCCGCTCATGGTCGGATCATGAAGGGCTTCGTCATGTTGACGAACCCAGATAAGCCCATGCCAAGGGCTGGGAAAGATACTGTTCAGCGTTAAGTAAGCTGTCCTGAAACTCTACGCGGATGAGTTCAAAGCACTCTACGACCGCATGAGGCCTCACATCAGCGCTGTGAGCAACAAATTGCATGGTGTTGTCAAGGCATCGACTGATGCAAGCGAGCCGCATGTCACGGCGAAGGAATCGGCTCTGGAGAATTCAAGCGCTCCACCAGCATCTTTCTCCCACGGCACCCAAATGCATGCTCCAGCAGATCTAGACGCTCGTATCGAAGAGGTTCTGAGCCGCATTCTCCCAGGAGCTTTAGCGAAATACCTTCAGATGGCTTCGACTCAAACGCTAGCCAATTTCCTCAAAACCAACCAGTCAAGTCAGACACCTATCCAACCCCCCAAGCCTGCGACTACAGCAGGCAATAAGCAGCCTCTCACAACCGGTCACAGTACTGATGCGCCTATAGAAACTCTGAATACTACCTCTCCCTTAGACACCTCGCAAGTACACTACGACTCCATTCCTGACCTGCGGAAATTGATATATGACACTCATGCTGATAACCTGATCATCGAGAACATCACCGATGACTCTGATTTATTCCAGTGCGGACTCGACTCATTGCAAGTGCCGGGACTGTTGAATGCACTCAATGCGTTTGTCATCAAGTTCAGGCCAGGTGTGGATCTCATTGAGGCCAAGGCTGTATACGATAATCCGACAGTGAACAAGTTGATGTCGATTCTACGGTAGATTGTGGAATCGACGATGAGTTATGGTTCTGAGAGTGGCTTGTACTAGTTGGACGGCGGATTGATCGGGGCTACCCGTGCCTCTGCCGACACAATTCAAGTATGCAATCGGTGGCTTGTATAAGTTATACAGTCGCCTGCATTGAACTGCATAAAATACCCACTCCTCTCAGTGCTTACTTGATACAGGGAGATGAGAAGATGAACCCACCGGTTCTTTTGGCCTATCTAGCTGAGTATCTACTTGCTTCTTGAATAGACTGGTTGAAGTTAAGTAGTACTACTTATTCAGAACCGTCTTCTATGAGTATACTCCTCCGATGTCCTCAGCCTCTTCCTGATGCCTAGACCCGACCTCTTTAGCCTTGGCAGATCTCAGTAAAGTACTACTAGTAGTATTAATCACACAGTAACCTTACTTAGGTTGAATTATTTCCCGTTCTTGTCAGCCCTCACGGCATGATCATCACTCTCTTCCTGCTGTCTGCTCTTCTCTCAGGCCCGCATAGCATGCTCGCCAAGCAAGCCCAAGCAAAGAGTTCCCCCGGTAAACCAGATACACCATTTGAACCACTTCCAACAATCCGCCGGCTCCTCCAACCTGACCGTGGCAATCATCCATCCCAACACAGCCACCGTACCGCCTACCGCCACGGCCCAGAAGCATCCCCCAAAACCGAGCAGATACCCCGTGCTCGCCAGCAGGGCGATCTTCACCACACTTAGGACCGACAGCACCTTCTTCGTGTGCGGAGTACATGCGACGGCCATGCTCATCACCCCCGCTTTCAGGTCGTCCTTTAGATCTTGATGTGCGTAGATGGTGTCGTAGATCATGGCGTTGACCACAGTTGAGAGGTAAACGCACGCCAAAGCCGCCCGGACATGTGGGCTTGTTCGAGAGAACGGGTTGAGACCGAGAGATGTCATGCCTATGATTTGCCCGAAACCGAGCGAGAAGCCGAGCACCACTTGTGGGAAATTTGTGACGCGCTTACAAAATGGATATACCGCCATGGTTAGCGCGAAGAGCGAGGCAGGCAAGCTGCACTCCCACGGTAGCCAGGACAGAGTGAGAATCCATACCGCCGTCTGGGCGATGGTGAAAATGTGAGCCGTTGTGGGGCTTACAGCCCCGCGGGCTACAGGTCGGTGTCGACACCGCGCCACCTGCCGATCCAAGGGCGCATCGAGGGTATCATTCCATGTAGAGGCTGCGCCACGGAGGAAGAGGTTTCCTACCGCGTGAACAGCGCACACGTATGTAAGTGAGGAAATGGAGGGGGCCGCGGGAGAGAGAATAGCAGCTATAAATGTCCCAGACAGGTGAGGGAAGTAGAATGCGTAGTAGCCGGCAGGCTTGTGCAGGCGCATCAATTCTGCGAAGGGAACAAGGGCCGAAGGCAAGTGAGAGACAAGGCCTTTGTTGCGCGGCGTGTATGGGGGAAGGTGAGCAAAGGGGTCGTTGTGGGTGGATTTGGCGGGTAAGGAAGAGGATAGGGGCTCCTGGGTGGCTACGACGCCTCGGCCAGGAAGGTGTTTATTCAGGGCGGAGGGTACGCCGTCAGTCAGGCTAGAAGCCATGTTTCAGCACCAATACCATGGGAGGATTCCACTCATGAAGATTTGAAGGGTCGGATAGCGATGAGGACGGAAGTGAGAAGCTTCTTTCAGGCATAATAAAAACTATGTCAGAAGTGAACGGTGCACAGTCCCTTTTGCTTTATACCTGGGTCATCGTCTGTCACATCCGTTCGTAAGCGACGTCGCATTATGGCTATCCATTCCTAAATAATTAGGAATATTTCCCCTGCGGTCTGATGCCTTATCAAAGCATGCATGTGGCCTAGACTCCTAGCACAACACTACACACAGGCTCTTTGCCTGGAGTGGTTCTAGCTGCGAAGATGAGGCGTGGCCAGAATCTTTCCGATGTCGGCTTGATACCAGCTGGCTGTCCGCATATGATTTGGAGGCGAATGGCCTTCAAACTTCGCTCGGAGGTATTGAAACGAGCCTTTCTCTTGCAGGTAGGGTCCAGCTGATGTTCTTTGTGCCATCCAGCTGCAGATCACCCATGTAAATGATTGCGAAACGGCAGTGAGCGATAGGATTGCATGGATTAGCTTCCCGATACTCCCGACGCATAGCGACGATGTAAGACGTCGTTGCAACCGTAGTACAGAGTAGTATCCACCACTCTGTCGTAAAATTCGATCTTTTTTGATTGGTCAGTGCCAGCCGCTAGATTAGCTAAATTAGGTTAGCCCCCGTAACCTTAACCTTAAATCTCTTACCCCCCAAGCGGCAATAGGATAGGAATGTACCAATTGATAGATACTAAATGACTCAAAAGCACCACCAAGAGGAGATATCAGGGCCAATTGATGCTATTGAAGCTGCTCCATTGGCTAAGGACTGCCCTCGACCCAAAAGAGCTCGAATTCAGAGCCGAAAAGCGCGAGAAAATCAGACGCAAAGTCAGCTATCTCAAGTACTTTCCCTGCGGCCCATCACACCTACGGTACCAACTTCAAGCGAGCAAAAACCGGTATCCAGTAGAGAAGATTCCTTATCTGCTGGAAACAACGCATCTCAATCAAAACAGCGACATCAATTACTCCGCCAAAACAGCTCTCAACGGTCTGGCATTAGTATACAGCATAGAAAAGAGAAGGAAGAATGGCAGATACAAGTTGAATCTACTCAAAACAAGTCAGAAAAGCTGAAGATTCTTGCTGAACAAATTGGCCCTAGTCGACCTTACCCAGAAAAACTGAACGTTCTGATCCTATTTGCGTCAGGGCAGCTAAATCTTCGTGCTCACGAACTTAAGCCAATTGATCTATTCTATCGGTTTATTCCAAAGGAGCTGTTTACGGACATTGCAGAGCATACGAATGAATACGCATTTGAAGAGAGATCTCAAGAATTCGATTAAATCCAGCGAGTATGGAGAGATGTAACTGCGGCAGATATTAGAGGCTATATTGGTGCTATACTCCTAATTGGCGCACAACTAGGTGGAAGAGATCTAGCCTACTACTGGAATCAGAAAGAAAACTATCCTCACTGGCCAGTCGCTGAATATATCTCTCTATTGAGATTTCAGCAGATTTCAAGATATCTCAAGATTAATAGGCCAGGGCCTCTCCCTGATAACCAATGGTACAAAAAAGTTGAGCCTCTTGCTGCTCATTTTCGTAAAGCAACGACTCCGAGTATGTACAAATTGCCACAGAATCTCTCAATTGATGAGCAATTAGTCAAATTCAAAGGACGTTCAAAGCATACTATTCAGATGAATTCAAAGGCTGCTGGCGAAGGATACAAGATATATAGCCTTTGTTGCTCTAACGGCTATATAGTCGATTTCAGATTCAGCAGTGCTATAGAGAAGGTAGCTGAATTAGGAGGATATCCTGAGTTCTCTCAAAGTAAGGCTATTATGCTAGATCTTGCAGAGTCGCTTTTAGCCCGATTTCCGCGCCCTAGGCCATTTTACGTTCTACATCTGGATAACTTCTTTACTACTCGCAAGCTCTATCAACGACTCTACGAACTCGGAATTGGAGCAAATGGCACTGCTAAAGCAGGGTCTGGTATACCTAAAGAGCTAGCGTATCTTCATGATATAATAACGAAGCAGAATGACCACGGAGAGTGGTTTAATTACGTTGTCAGCAGCGTTAATTGTATCGCATTTTGCGATTCAGCTTCTAAGGCAATGATGACTACTATTCACGATCCTACTATGGAGGAATACACCTATTTCAAGAGAATCAAACGCCCTAAGGCCTCTTTGAAGTATGCCGTGGATGCAGAAACTGCAAATGCTGCAAATTCTGCAAATGCTATGAAATTTGTTCATCCTGCGCCTTCTACGAATTCTACGCCTCCTGCGAATTCTGCGCCTCCTGCGAATTCTACGCTCTCTGCGAATTCTGCGCTCCCTGCGAATTCTGCGCTCCCTGCGCCTCCTACGCCTCCTGCGAATCTTACGCTCCTTGCGAATCCTACGCTCCCTGCGAATTCTGAAAATAAGCCACAATATCTACGAAAGCTATATGCCCTTGATCGATATAATCAAGAGATAAGTGGCTCTGATAACCACGCAAAACTGAATTCGTACTATTCAGTAAGCCGACACTATCATCAACGCAACTGGCTACCCTTATTCTTTTTGCTTATCGACGCAGCTGTTACCAACGCATATAATCTCTATAAGCTAGGCGTAAAAAGCAAAAGGCTCTCACACGCTCAATTTCAAGAAGAAATTGCAAAAAGTCTGCTTCGAGGACCTGGAGCTATTCTACGGCAACGGCCACCACGACCTCCCAAAGCTAGCTGCAATCTCCGTACTAAATCAGTACCAAAAGATAGCTACAAGGGGCATTCGTGGGTCAAAGGAGATCGCTGGCGCCGCTGTCAATCATGCAATCCTACTCCTAAACTAGGCAGGCCGCGAAAAGCACTCCAGGAAGTGTCTACCAACGCCCCTAATAACGCCAAAAAAGGCCAAAAGGGTATCCATCAGAGCCTATGGTCTTGCAGCAAGTGTAACATCTCAATCTGCCACAATTCGCACTGCTGGGCTCGTCATTTACCCTCTCCGTAGCAGAGATAGCAAATTCTATTTATTTTGGTGTTGCTACTTCCTAATTAGGCTTAGTGCCTACTAAAAATAAGGCTCTCTTGGCACCCGCTCTGTTGACCAATCAAAAAAAGATCGAATTTTACGACAGAGTGGTGGATAGACGAAAGCTTGGTGCCAAGAAGATCTACACATGATATATAGTATTAGTGGTATGATGAATTGATCCGTAAAATACGTGATCTTGCTAGTATCGCTAGTAATACTAGCGTCAAACAGATGACATTTCATTTCGATTCGATTATTTACTAACTAGCAGTTTTGCACGGAATCACTAATCATATGCTTACGCGACTGTAATTGGGCTCGTGTCGTCCTTCTTACTTTATTCCTGACACTTCTTCCGAGATCTTTTATTCCACAGTCGGTTGTCATGCTTTCGCAGTTTTGGATTGTCTCCAATCAGGATGGACGGCTTCTCCGACCGAGGCGCCTCGAATCTCATGGAGATTATGGCCAAAGTCCCTGAGAGCCTACTCAAACCCTCCTCAAACCCAGACGAGATAAATCTATCCATTGCAGAAAACTGGGTCATCCGTTACGAGGTACTCGACATACTAAAGTCCTCGCTTGAGAATAGCTTGCGAGCCCATGTAAGGTGGTCCCGAGCTTCTCCGTCTGTGGGTCCGCTGACGCCTCAGCATCTCGATTGGCCGACAGGCTTTTGGGGCGATCCTGGGCTGCTGAAATCCTTGCGAGAGTTTTCAATACCTATTTTGACCCTCACATCACGGTCGAGCCGAGCCATGTCGTTGTTGCGCCAGGTGCTGCTGCCTGCCTGGATGCAATACTCTACAGCATATGTAATCCAGGAGATGGTGTTCTCGTTCCCTGTCCTTACTGGAGTAGGGTTACATGCCAGCATCTGCGATCAACTATTGCTGACGAGCTTATGCAGATGGGTACGATGCTTTCCTTTTCACCCATTCTGAGGTTAAGCCGGTCACGGTTGCATTCCCTAACTTTGACGTATCCCTTGGTCCAGATCTTATTGCGGCATTAGAGAAAACGTACCAGACTTCCTCATGCCCGGTAAGGGCTTTAGTCTTATCTAACCCCCACAATCCGCTTGGGAGATGCTATTCGAAGGACATTCTCGAGCAGTGTCTCAAGTTCTGCCAGCAACGTAACATTCACTTTGTATCAGACGAGGTCTTTGCCTTGAGCGTGTTTGCAAGCCCGGATATAGCAGATTCTTCCTCTTTTGTTTCGGCGCTCAGTCTGCATCCAAAATCGTTAGGCTGTGACCCGGAGTCAGTGCACGTTGTATGGAGCATGAGTAAGGGCTTGGCCGCCAGCGGTGTCAGATTAGTATGTCCGTCTCTAGCATGGGTTTCTGCCTTACTAACACTTGCGCAAGGCCTGCATAGCAACACAAAACAATAACCTGCGGAACGCTGTCGCTCTAGTTGCATCAGTAAATGTCTCTACCCTCTCCACCATTTTCTCTAGGGAGCTCTTAGCCTCGCCTCGCCTATCTTCGCTGCTACAGCTTAGCTCTACAAGGCTGGCAGAAGCTTATGTGACCCTGACATCTTTTTCAAAAGCTTCTGGTATTGTATACTTTCCTTGCAATTCCACCACCTGCCTCATGGTAAAACTAGCGCCCCGAGCACAGTCTTGGGAAGACGAAGCATACGCTTTTCGTCAATACCTACAGGCTGGCGTTTTGGTTGCTCCTGGACGTGTCTACCACATGCCTGAGGGTCAGAAAGGCTGGATGCGGATGTCGTTTGCTGTTGACAAGAAGCTCCTGGTTGAAGCTCTAGCCAGAATAGAGAAATGCAGGCCGATGATCCAGATCGTATTGCGAGTTGAGAGAAACCACTGAATGAAGATAGTCCGGTACGACTTCCACTAAGCATTGTGTTCCTGAATTACTCAAACAGCTCTTAGACAGCTCAGATCAGAAACTGGTCCACTTGGGTGTGCCTCATATGGCCGACCCTTGTCATGTTGAGTCTCGCGATGGGTGAACTCAAGATCAACTATGAAGATGATCATTGTTGAACACAACTCCAATGCACAGCATTAAAAAACAATGAAACGACTAAGAAGCTGCTGCTTGCGGCAAATATATCGGATTGAAAACCAAGGTCACTAAGCGTTCGACGCTGCTGTCACAGGCTGCAGAAAGCGGGCATGATACAGCGCTGAAGCTGCTACTTGCCACTCATGGTTTTGAAACCATACCTTAATGACATAGGCGGTCGGACGGCATTGGTATGGGCCATAGAAGAAGGCATAAGGTGGTAGTGGAGCTCTTTCTCACTGCAAAGCATTTGCAACAATCAACGTTGTCAAGAAAGCGGAAAAGCGAACTGGCTGGCAAAGTACTCAGAAAGGAGGGCACAGGATGTAGAGATATTTCTGGTTGCTGTTTTCAGTCAATACAGTTCTCGCTCCATACATCATGTGAACCCACAAACGTTGTTCCGGGCTTTTCCAAATCGATCGGCTGAATCAGGAACACAGAGCCCTTATCTTGCAGAATCCAGAGTCATAGCTCAAATCATCCGTCCCTAGGAGCACGATGTTCCTTTGTGCCTTTCTCTTCATATTTCTCTGTGCTCTATTTACTTCTGCCTCGCTTCACAGACCACGATCGCGTCAGAAAAACCCTTCACAAGAATGGAGACCGGAACATTCTGAAAGTCCTAGGCCACAATCTCGCTCCTACCTGCGACCGCCCGGCCAAACATATCCTCCAAAGACACCATATGGACGACGAACGCGGTTCATCTTTGCGGGGATTGCTTTCCTTCATTTCCTCGTCCCGGGCATGGTTTGCTCATCCCTTCGTGCCCGACTAAGCGCTGGATTGGCTACTAACTCGACATACCAGCCGTTGGAGATCCACACCAGATCCAGGGCCGAACATGACTTACGTCGGCGTTACAGAAATCCATTGAGAGCCGATACTTGTTGATAGAGATTCGCTGTGTAGTCTTGTTGAGATCATGCAAGTTTGGAAAAGGGGCATGTAATTCAGCCAAGAGAGGACGGATGTCCATCTTTGTTCACCTCGCCGTCTGGGATTTCCGGGATGACGCGATGCATACCATTGTTCTTGAGGGTATTACGAAGAATGAGACGAGGTTCTTTTGTCTGAACGGATCGGTCGGATTTCGCAGAACCGGGCTTGATGTTGAATGAAAGGGGAGTGGAGCTCTTGGGGCTGCATTGAACAAGAGGAGAGAGACACGGCCCGAAGGGAAGGATGCGGCTGTTCATTCTTATGAATGGAATAATAGTCGTAGGTATGGACTTGATAGTAAGTTGATAATATCCTGTCTGTATTGACGAATAAGGTCAGTTAACAGCGCTTTGCTTATTCAATGCCAACCTTCTGCCAATGTTACCAAAGCATAGACAGCTACAAAACAAGACACTAGCTACCCAGGCCCAGACTCCGATACTCTCTTGCGAAATGAAGCTGTCCAACCCTTCCAGATGCCCTGCGGTGTTGGTAAACGCCACTTTCGGGGCCTGTATATTTGGTGATGGCACGATATCTGGGTTGATTTCCAACAATACAAAAGTCCCTGCAATACCGAAAACAGCTGAAGAGATGAAGCCCGTTATCGACCTGTCTATCAGATACCATAACACAGGGTTTACAAGCGCTAGGGTTAGGGAAACTTGCAACGTTGATTGCCAGGGCAATTTTCTCTTGATATCATGATTAGCATTACGGAACCACAGCCAAGAGTTTGAGAGACTCACAATTGCAAAGGCAATACCAACAAAAGCGCCGATGCCGCGCACCACCGGGTTCCAATCCGCGCTGAAGCCGGGTCGTTCATGATTATCCTCCCCATTCGCTGAAGAAGACGAGACTCTTCTACGAACCAGACTACCTCGACCTTCGGTGCTTTCAGCTGTTTCTGACCACATGGAATCGACCCAGGGCTGCAGGCTTCCTAAAGCTACACCCACCATTCCCCAAAACGTCATGTAGCTCCGTGAACGTCGACTGAACGCCTCTACCTTGACAGGAGCGAGCTTTTGGTTATCGTGCAGGTGCGTGATAAGTGTCCCATAAGCAATTCCAACCATGAAAAGAAGAGCCCCTCGCAGCAAGAGGGGCAAAAATAGGCCTCGGAAACCATGTTTTCGATGACCAAAAGCCGCCGGTGCCGGTGCCTTGTCCCAGCTCGCTGTCCCTGCCGAGGGACGCTGACCGTCAACACTCTGTCTGTGGCTTGGTGTTTGCGCACCAGTTCCCCACGGCGTTGACAGTTCTTCCCTCGAAACTTCATAGCCAGTAGGAGAGTATATGCCCAGGAGAGTCGAAGAAGTAAGATTTAGGATAGATCGAGTCCGGCTTGGAGGGGAAGCGCCCTGTAGCTTTGCCTCGAGTAGTTCTGGATTTGTGTTCTCTGGTGGTGGTGAGGGAGGGACAGAAGATTCATTTGAAGCTGGCGCGAGTTCGAAGGTCCGACGAGGGACAGGCTTCTGAATCTGCAGTGTATCAGACATAATATGAGCTGAAGTCTACAAAAAGACAACTGACAGGTAGGGATCTGAGAAAAAGCTGGTGAGTAGCAAAGGATTGAAGACTACTTACAGCCATAAGATGGAAGGAAGGGATGGCGCAGAGAGTGGAGAAGCAAGTAAGCCTTCGTGTTAGACTGTCGACTTGTCGCAATAGGTATGCTGCACTACGGAGACCCTGGATCGGTCTGATAGGATACGAAAAGGTCCTGAAGCATGTGAGTGGAATGGAGCAATGAGTCTTACGTGGAGAAATGACCGAGACACCTTGCTCGCTCTTCACATGCGCCGAGACATCCTGCTTAGAACAATGATGCTAGATCACAATACATACCTCACGGGTCTGAACTTGTCGGGCAGAGAATGAGTACAGCACTTTATAGAGCATGAAGGTGCATTGGTATCATCCTTTGTCGATTGATATTGCTTGCTGAATCTTATTACTTTTGTTGTAAGAGATACTGTAGCATGTGAATGGTTCGAAAGATCTGCAGCACTCCGGACCCTGCCGCTGTTCATCTGTCCAAGTCTGTCTCAATATCTGCATGAACGCCTGGTCTTTCGAAACTCGACTTTGATATAACTGCTCTAGTGACAATTATCCATTCCAACATCGAGTCTCAATGATTCACATTCGTTCCCTTTTCCTCCAACCACTCAATTCAAAATGACCGTGTCAAACGCAGCTATATCTGATGCGTTGCTCATCTCGACACGTGATGGGACCTATCCAGAGTCGGAAGAGGTCCTTACGACAGATCTGTCTGCTTTTGCACTGCGACCGTCGCTCCAGCTTATAGGCGAAGCTAAGCAACAGATCGAGGTTCGTGGTGCTCTGCAGCTCCTGAACGAAGCTCCTTTAATCATGGATACTATAGACGGACATTCGAGGCCTCAGTCAAAATAGCTCATCCGATGTCGATGAATGGATTGCGCAGGCCAGCCATCTTCAAGAAGATATTCGGCACTCTAAAAACATTGCGCGGGAGATCGTAAAGGAGTACGAGGATGGTCAAAATCTGTCAGCCAAAATACAAGATGCAAAAGCAAAGGTCGAGCTTCTACAGAAAGAGATATTCTTCAATCAGGCTGTTACGTCGTCACTAGAAGACATCTGGTCATTGGATAGAGATCTGAACAAGGCAGAGTCTATTTTAGCCTCTGGTAGACCAATTGAGCTTGTGGCAGGCATCGAACAGCTGTCCTTTCGCACTGAGCGGCTGGCAGATAGCAATGCAAAGGAAATCAATAACAGTCGAGTTCTACGACTACGAGAGGCTGTTGTGGAAAGTCTCACAGCAGCTGCAAGTTCCATGGTGCAATTGCAGAAGGCTGATGGTCAACAGCACTTGAGAGTAGACCATGGCACCCAAGGTCTGTAGTCTGCCTGTGGAGCTGATATAGCGCTAACTTGTAGCAGAATCACTCGGTGTTACTCTCGACTTGTTGCTCGAAGCACTCGAGCAGCTTGATTCCATGGAAGGTCTACTTCGGAACCTCTCCAGAGCATTTCATCGGCGAATTTTTCAGCCTGTGTTATCACCAGCCACCGGGTTTAACACATGCTTCATCGACGAAGAGTCTCACGCTCTGAACTTGTCATCGACTGAGAAAAAGAAAGACGCTCAGGGCGTGCTAGATTGCCTTTCATCGGTGCTCGGTTTCCTAAATGCACATCTTCCTAAAAGGCTTAATTCAGCACTTGGAGAAAGGTTGTCAGAAGATCTTGTTGATACTCTGATACGTGACTGGCTTACTCCATCTGTCCCACTTGATCTAGCGGACATACTAAAGTCTGACAGCATTCAGACGACAGTTGCAGACCTTGCAAACCAGATCTTGTCATACCACTGGCCTGGCGACACTGAATTGATGGGTTGGCTAGAAGGCTTACCTCATATCTGGCTAGAGAAACGGCGCAACTCGGCACTTGACGCTGTGCGAAGGACGTTGAAAGCGCGACGCGGCCCTAACAAAGAAGCACGAAGAACCGAGCGCCAGAATGTTTCTGCTCTGGATGAGGCGTTTGCACAGAACGGGTACAGCGATGACAATGCAAATTCGATTGAACAGCTCCCCGAGACCACAACAACCTTTTTGACAAATCCGACCGATTTGGAGGAAGAGGATTTGAGTGGATGGGACTTCGACGATGATGGCGAGAAAAATGACAGTGCAGTACCCTCTCCAACCAAAAGCAACGGCGACATCGAGGATGCTTCTGATGCATGGGAATGGGATGAAGACAATGCAGAGGAGAAACGCAGGGACCATTCTAGCTCAGGACTGCAAGGAGCCAATCTTGTCCACAAGGGCGCTCCGGTCGAGCATCGCGAGGTCACCTTGACTGAGACCTACACGATTACAGATATACCGGATCATTTGCTTGACTTTGTCTCCGGCGAAGTGCGAGACGCCGAACAAATGAAGACCCCAGAGTACATTGCCTTTGAACGCATATCTGCTTCAACCTGTTTACGATCACTGCCCACCTTAATACTAGCAATGTTTCGTGCAACAGCACCAGCACACTACTCCACAATCCCAAGCGGAAACATGCATCTCTACAATGATTGTGTATATCTGGTTGACAAGCTAAGAGACTTTGCAAAAAGCACGTCTTCAACTCAGCTATCAGTTGATTGTGATGTACTGGAGAAATTCGCGAAAAGTGCCTACGCAAGAGAGATGGACTTGCAAAGGACCGTGTTGAGCGATATCCTGGATGGTGCACAGGGATTCGTCAACTGTACCAGGTTCCCATACTCAGCTGAGTGTGAGACAGCCGTTAACTCTGCCATCGATAGGCTTCGAGCTGTACATCGTGACTGGAGCTCAATCTTATCACGTTCAGCCCTTTTGCAATCGATCGGCTCACTCCTGGCTGGTATAATCGAGAAGATCATTGGGGACGTCGAGGATATGGAAGACATTTCCGAAGCTGAATCACAGCGATTAACTGCATTCTGCAGTCAGATCTCAGCTCTCGAAGATCTCTTCATCTCGGAACAGGCTGCGCAGGACGAGAGAGCAGACACGGAACCAGTGCCGCTGACTGCGGTCTATGTCTCCAATTGGCTACGGTTTCAGTATTTGGCTAACATCTTGGAAAGCTCGCTCGTCGACATTAAATACTTGTGGACTGAAGGCGAACTCAGTCTGGAATTCACTGCAGACGAATTGATTGAGCTTATAGAAGCTCTGTTTGCTGAGTCAAGTCACCGCCGAAGTGCCATTGCTGAGATCCGGCGCAGTCGTCCTTAGAATCAATCTAGTACAGAGCAAAGATAGCGCAAAGATTGAAATGACTCATAGAACATTTAAGCAACCATTTCATTCGTACGCTCGTGTAGTCAATCGAATGGTCAATTGTATAAAACACTGAGTCTGCCCATGAATTTGCAAGAAAGTGAAACTTGTAGACGCGGGTTGTCCTTTGTGACGTTTTCTGTCGCCTTCCGCTTGAAGGCAAAATCAAACTAGAAATTTCGAACAATTCCATGGCAAGATGAAAGTAGTGGGTGATACTGGGTGTTTGCTGTCAGCGTTGGAAAAGAATTGACTGTCAACTCAAAATTCCCCAGCGTACCTGATATGCACTACTTTACAGACTGGTAACTTAGTGTTCTCAACAAGGTGAGAGAATCTTTCTATTGTGCTCTCATTTTGCCCCTTGCATATCTGATCCGGCGCGTGATTCCGCGGATCACTGAAGAATGTTGTGGTTTCCCGTTTTGTTGCTTTCCGTTCTATTTCGAAAATTTAATGACCTCCGTTGTTGGTGGTCTGAAAGGGTAGAAGTCTCACACGGAACTGTAGTGCAAAATATTCGAACCGGATTGGTCGAGCACGAAGGCTGGCCACAAGACCAACCAAGTCCAGGATTCGTAATAACAAGCCGCAGTCCTACGAGTCAGGCGAAAATTGAGATGGGATCATTGAAGATAGAACCACACTTTCGAGTGGTACAACAGTTCACACCTGATTATTCGCCCAATTGTTTCACTCAGTATGAATCGCAGAGGACTGGTATGCGGGTGGTCGTGGTCGACCAACAAGGTCCAAAGCTGTACGGCTTCTTCATACTTGCTACTGAGATCCATGATGACTCCGGGGCCCCGCACACCCTGGAGCATCTGTGCTTTATGGGCTCTAAGAGCTACAAGTACAAGGGCTTCTTGGATAAACTTGCGACAAGGGCATATTCTAGCACCAATGCGTGGACTGCTACCGACCATACTGCGTACACTCTAGAAACCGCAGGCTGGGCAGGATTCGCCCAAATGCTTCCGATCTATCTCGAGCACGTCATAGTGCCAACACTGACCGACGCGGCTTGCGTTACAGAGGTACACCATATCGATGGCGAAGGCAACGATGCAGGCGTGGTATATTCGGAGATGCAAGGTGTGCAAAACACTGCCAACCAGCTGGTAGAGCTCAGAGCGAAGCGTCTCATCTATCCCGAGAAGACTGGATTCCGCTACGAGACAGGAGGTATGCTTGAACAGCTCCGAGAGCTGCCTGCGAAACGGATCCGAGATTTTCATCGCGAAATGTACCAGCCCAAGAATCTGTGTTTGGCACTGTTTGGCGAAATCGATCATGACCATTTGTTGGAGATCTTGGACACATTTGAGACCACTATTCTGGATGACATTCCTAGCCCCAACGCACCTTTCAAACGACCATGGGTCGACTCGGTACAAACCCCCCCTCTATCAGAGTCTGCCATCGAGACTGTGGAATTTCCCGAAGAGGATGAGTCTTCTGGACAGATAGACGTCATTTTCCTAGGACCACACTGTGCAGATCCCCTTTTGAATGGAGCGCTAAATATAGTTCTCCTCTATTTGGCTGGATCACCTGCAGCGCTTCTGGACAACACCATTGTCGAGAAGGAGCAGCTTGCTAGCGGCGTCTACTTTCAAACGGATAGCCGTCCGAGAACTGAGATATCGTTCTCCATCTCAGGTGTGGAGACGAATAAGCTGGAATTCGTAGAGAAGCGGTTCTTTGAGGTGCTCCGAGATGCGATGGACAAGGATTTGGATATGAGCTTCATGCAGGACTGCATCGACCGTCAAGTTCGAACGTACAAGTTCAACACCGAAGCCACTTCGACAGCCTTCTCAGATCATATCATCTCTGATTTCCTCTATGGGAAGCGAGACGGTACCACAATGGAGACAGTCGCAACCTTGGAGGAGTACACTAGATTGTCGAAGTGGAATCAGGAGCAATGGCGAAACTTCATCAAAGATAACATTTCCCACGCTCACCACGTGTCCATTCTTGGAAAGCCATCCGCCGCCCTTTCGGCGAAGCTCAAAGCAGACGAAGCATCCAGAATCGAACAGCAGAAACAGAAGCTTGGCCCAGAAGGACTGAAAGGAATGCAAGAGAAACTGGACAAGGCAAAAGCTGAAAACGACAGAGAAATACCTACTGAGCTTCTTGCCGGATTTCGAGTGCCCTCGACAGAGTCGATCCATTTCGTCAACACGTCTTCGGCACGTTCTGGTCCCGCACTCGACGTTGGTAGACCTCAAAATAGATACCAGAAGATTATCGACGCAGATAGCTGGCACAATCCGCTTTTCCTGGACTTTGAGCATATACCATCAAACTTCGTTCGCGTCTACCTCATAATCTCTACGCAGACCCTGCCGCTGGAGCTCCTTCCGCTTCTCTCGATCTACACGGAAGCATTTTTCAACTTACCGATACAACGAAATGGCCAAACGATCAGTTTTGAGCAAGTTGTCGTTGAGCTGGAGAGAGATACTGTTGGCTACGATATGCAAGGTGCAGGAGACCTCGGAAATATTGAATGTTTGCGGGTTGGACTGCAAGTTGAATCTGGGAAGTATGCCGTCGCAATTGACTGGATCAAACAACTACTGTGGAAATCAGTGTTTGATCTTGAAAGACTCAAGGCTGTTACTGCACGATTGGTGGCAGACATCCCAGAACGCAAGCGAAAAGGAAGCCATATGCTGGGTGCTGTTATCTCGATGATACACCTTGTTCCAGAGTCGATAGGCCGATGTCGAAGTACGCTTGTCCAGGCCTTATATCTCAAACGCATTAGACATCTCCTCAAAACCGACCCCGAGGCTGTGATAGCACGATTCGAGCAGCTTAGATCTAAGCTGTGCCGGTTTGAAAACTTCCGCGTCGTCGTCATTGGCGATCTGGACAAGTTGAAGAAACCGGTGTCTACGTGGGAAACATTCTTGGAAGAACTGGACACTGACAGACCTCTATCCCCGTTAGGTAAGCGTAGCGAGCGCCTGAGCGACGCTGGAAAGCGTCCCGGAAAGTTGGCGTATATTGTGCCAATGTCCACTGTGGATTCCTCCTTCGCTTCCAGCACCGCTCTTGGACCCAATTCTTTTGATGACCCGAATTTGCCTGCGTTGATGGTTGCTTTATCATACCTGAATGCTGTGGAGGGCCCGTTGTGGGTCGCTGTTCGCGGGACAGGTCTTGCATATGGCACGTCGATGTCGTATGATCTCGAGTCTGGCCACATCCACCTTGATATCTACAGGTCGCCGGACGCATATAAAGCATTTGAAGCAAGCAAGAAGGTTGTGGAAGATCATACCACTGGGGTCATTACATTTGATCCACTCATGCTCGAAGGAGCTATCAGTAGTATTGTCGTTGGATTTGCTGATGAGCAGGGTACTCTTGCCAATGCAGCTCAAGCCAGTTTCATCCGGCAAGTCATGAGAGGTCTACCGACCAATTACATGGAGACGATGCTGAAGAAGGTTCGAGATATCAAAGTCGACCAGATCAAAAATGTCTTGAAAGGAGTTGTGCTAAATGTTTTCAATCCGGACAAGGCCAATGTTGTGACCACATGTGCACCAGGTCTCAAAGATGTGAGATACTCTACGGACTACTTTCTGAGCTTTCACGCTGATAGTCTTTAGGGAACCAAAAGTGGTCTAGAGTCCCTTGGGTTTGTACCACAGATCAAGGACCTGGACTCTTTCCAGGATGACTATGGCCTGCAGCCAGCGATTGGGGAGGAAGAAGACTCCGACGACGTCGACGAAGAAGAAGGTGACGAGGAGGAGGAAGATGATGAAAATGAGGATGGAGTAGAAGATGGCGTTGGGATAGACAACACTGGAGATGCGTGAATACCATCATTGAATACGACACTAGAACAAAGGAGCAGACAGCATAGAATTAAAAAGGAAACAGAATAGCTAGCCCTGCCTACCAGAATGTGTCTTGTGAAAGAGTTATTGGGGTAATGTATGGAACGGTTCGAGTCTGACTCGACGGCAACTTGATGTAGGGCTGAGATGAGTCAATGCATTTTATTTTCTCCCCAAATATCCCTCCTAAGTTCCAGCTCGAGCAGGTCATATTGTCATCCCGCAAACACGAAATTCAAAAGACAAAGTAGACAACCGAGGGCTTACAACTGGCGGTGTTGCTGAATAGATTCTTGTGCTCTGTTCGGGTGCCTCAATCGCAAAGCTTCTGAACGCTTCTACCAGCGACGAGGATATCGCCACGACTTTGAGCGCAAGACCGGAACCACAGCCATGGCTACAAATGGCGATTTCTCGGACGACGAGTCGCAACCTGGCTCTCCCGCCCCAGAAGAAGTGCAGAATGGCGAGCATGACGAGCATGACGAGATAGAAGATATTTCAGAAAAGCCTAAGTCAGCGCTGAAGAAGACTCCACCATCTGAGCCCTTAGCAGAAGTCAAACGACCTCCTCTACCTGAGCAACCAGATCCAGAAGACCTTGACCTACAGTCGTTGACGCCACTTTCTCCTGAAATCATCTCCCGACAAGCTACAATCAACATCGGGACTATCGGCCATGTGGCGCATGGCAAATCCACAGTCGTGAAAGCTATCTCCGGTGTGCAGACCGTCCGGTTCAAGAATGAGCTGGAAAGAAATATTACCATCAAGCTAGGATATGCAAACGCAAAGATCTACAAATGTGACAATTCAGAGTGTCCCAGGCCGACATGCTACAAGAGTTTTAAGAGTGAGAAAGAGGTGGACCCACCATGTGACAGAGAAGGCTGCACTGGCACATACCGATTACTGCGACATGTCTCGTAAGTGGCATGTCTTGTGCTGGTCATCCTAGCTAACAGCAGTTCCAGATTTGTTGATTGTCCAGGGCATGACATTCTCATGAGTACCATGTTGTCAGGTGCGGCTGTCATGGATGCTGCTCTTTTGCTTATTGCTGGGAACGAGACCTGTCCTCAGCCTCAAACCTCAGAACATCTTGCAGCTATTGAGATTATGAAGTTGAAGCATATCATCATTCTACAGAACAAGGTCGACCTGATGCGAGAAGAGGGTGCACAGCAGCATCACCAGTCAATACTGGATTTTATTCGGGGAACCGTGGCCGAAGGCTCTCCCATCATCCCTATCTCTGCCCAATTGAAGTACAACATCGATGCCATCAACGAATACCTGGTTACCAAAATTCCAGTTCCTGTTCGAGATTTCCAAGCAGCTCCCCACATGATCGTGATTCGATCTTTTGATGTCAACAAGCCGGGGGCCGAAATCGAGGATCTAAAGGGAGGCGTCGCAGGTGGGAGCATCTTGACTGGCGTTCTCAAGCTTGGGGACGAAATCGAAATCAGGCCGGGTATTATCAGTAAAGATGAGACTGGCCAAACCATATGCAGGCCTATTATGAGTCGCATTGTTTCACTGTTTGCAGAACACAACGATCTCAAATTTGCTGTGCCTGGAGGTCTGATAGGAGTTGGAACGCGCATCGATCCTACTCTCTGCCGTGCTGACCGACTCGTTGGGCATGTTCTCGGGCTACGGGGCAAATTGCCTGCTATTTACATCGAGCTCGAAGTCAACTTCTTCCTTCTTCGCAGATTGCTGGGCGTCAAGACTGCTGATGGCAAGCAAGCAAAGGTGGCCAAGTTATCCAAAAATGAAGTGCTGATGGTCAATATTGGATCGACCGCGACTGGTGCCAAAGTCATGGGTGTCAAGGCGGATGCGGCGAAGTTGACGCTGACCAACCCGGCTTGCACGGAGATCGGAGAGAAAATTGCTCTGAGCAGGAGGATAGAGAAACACTGGCGGCTGATTGGATGGGCGAATATCGTGCAGTAAGTGCCATGGTCTACAGGTCAAATTCGTGAGTACTGACGGTCTATGACAGTGGCAATACAATTGAGCCTGCGAGCTCTTGAAAGGACTTGTTGATAGCGTCAGGGCCTGATGGGCAGATAGATTCAAGTCCAGGACCGCCTCATGGACAGCCAAGGTACTGCTGTTACAGGCTTTCATGCTTCAAGCCGTCGACGAAAACGTGGCCTGACAAAAATCATCCGCGGTAGGCTAGAAGTGGATGGGATCATGACTGTTGCACAGCAAGTTTCTGGGATACAGGAGCTGTGAAAGACTGGGAAGAAGGGGGTAGCAGCTCGTAGAGAGGTGATAGGTTCAGCGAATCACAAATGCCATGCCTACTCAACCATCATTGGACGTCTCTTGTTGCGAGTGTTTCGGGATTCATGAAATTATTGGTGTTCAACGTTTGCTTCTGCACGTATAGGTAAGAAATTTGAAGCATTTCAATTCAATGGAGAATGCCTGGCAATCACGTGACTGTGACCACGTCCCGCTGATGAATACTGATGAAATGGTGCCGATGAAGTCATGATTCCTGCCAATTAACGGTAAGCTCTGATGAGCGGTAAAATTACCCCTAGAAGCTGTACATCATTTCCATTTCCGTTTCTCACTTTAAGAGTTGTGTTTTGCAAGTCAGTCCCAGGCACTGTGGTATTACTTCTCAAAATTCAAGGCGAATCACTGGCCCTGAGCAAATAATTGAACCTTGACCTCATTCTCTCGTTACCTCTCTCTAGAATCATTGAACATCCTCCCTCTCGTAAAACTCTTCAAGAGGTCAATAGCTCCTCCCTCTAATACAGAGAACATCCCTTCCTTACCCGATCCAACAACCTTACCACACCAGCATTGCATCAACAAACAGCACGACCACCTCAAAGCGAACCCACCACCACCAACACAAACCATGTCCGCCAGCCCTTCACCGCCCAACCCCGGCCAACCCAAGCGAACGCCCAATGCCCCACCACCACCCTCCGTCCTCCGCCGAGCCACCCCCGGTCTCCTCGCCGGCGGAGCCGCCCTCACCCTGGCATGGGTCTATTTCCGCGCCTCGCCCAACCCAGCACCCAACCCTCTCCACACGCCCGGCGTGAGCAACATAGAGAAGGCCTACCGCGGCGCTGGCGCCACAGGGACTCACACCCCCGCCTACGGCGGAACGGAACAGGGAGAGCGGAACAGCGAAGCGTTCAGGGGTGATGCGGAGGGGACGCAGAAGAAGGATGGACCGCCCGAAGCCAAGAGTGCGGGGAAGAGGGAGTTCAAGGTTAGCGGGCCGAATGATAGTAAGGATGGGCCGAGGGGGGAGGGGAGTGGGAGTAACGATATTGGAGAGGTGCAGAGGCCGCCTGGGTCTCAGGCTATGGGGGCTGGGAAATTGTGGAATCGCGCCAAGTATGGCAATGAGGATCAGAAATGAGTGGGTATGGTAGTGGGAAAGGAGTGAGAAGTCGATTTGGCCGCAGTAGGGCGCGCACAAGTACTTGTACCTTCAGATGGTGACGGACAAGGCCAGAGGAAGTCTGCATTACGGCTTCGGAGTTGAGCTTGACTCAGCACGTGCATGTGCAGATGACGGCTTGCTCTAACTATCATAGTACTCGGGACAGGAGTTGCTCAACGAGCTCAGTCAGAACCTGGGTCGGGAAAGCTTTCTCCGGTACTGCTAGCACGAAATGAATCGATTCTATCTCAAGCAAGACTTTCCATGCTATGGTCTTGTTGCTGGCGAGAGCAATATTGAATCGCTAATGAGTTTGGCTTTGACGCTGTCACAGCTCCAGCTCGTACCCATGCGGTGCATGACATCCGCAGAATCAATCGAGATCTTCGCGACGCAAGAGTGTCTGGCCATCCTCTAATCCCACACATCTCATCTCACAATACCCTCGAACCTAGTCTTGAACCACTTCACGGTATCATCCTTAGTCACCTTATGCTGCTTGCCAATCTTGCTCTTGCACCGTCTTCTCCTCGCAACTCGTGCTCCTGGTCGGCTCCTATCAAACCACAATCAGCCACGCCTCAACACCCCAAAATTTGGAAAGACTCCCACTCACATGCAGCAATAGAAGTCCATCCCATAGATGCCAATAGCCGGATCATACTTGATGCCCAGATCAATGTGTTCGGAGATGCCAAACCCAAAATTGCCCGTATCCGAAAAATTCTTCTTCCGCAACTCGTACTCCTTGACCTTCAGGCCTCGCTCGAGAATCTCCTCGGCTTTGGGTCCTCGCACGGTGACGTGGACGGCGATCTTTTCGTTGCGGCGGATCCCGAAGGAGCGGACGGTGTAGCGTGCTTTGCCTGTTCGGTGTGGAAACGTTCTGCGATCAGTACATATCCTGCGGAAGGGCGAGACACCTTTAGATAGGGTGTTTTCAGGTCAGCTCTTACTGTAGACGGGCGTCTGTCCACTCAGCTGTTCCAGCACTTTGGCGGCTCGGGTGAGTCTGTCGCCAGATTCTCCGACGGAGATGTTCAACACCAGCTTGTCGATGCGGAGTTCCCGCATGGGATTTGAGCTCTTGTCGTTGCCTTCCGCCATCTTGAGAGATTGTGCGGGTTTAACGAGTGCGACAGAGTTTAGCTGGTGGATTGAATTGGTGTTTGACAGAATAATAAATAATGAATAATTCGATGTGCAGCGTTGTGGCTTCCAAGCCCCTAGCGTGGGGCAAGTGGGGCTAAGCCTAGAATGGCCAGCTCGATGCTTGGCTTTTGGATATTTTGGTTCCTCGCGCTCAACATTGGGTGTCCGAAGCCGAATTCTCAACTGTCTTGACGGCAACTTACCAATCTCCCACATTAATCTCGGAATATCCTAAGTTACAGCTCTGACAGTCATATTCTTGGAACGATATAAGTCGCACTCGTGCGCAAGTCGGCCAGCATGGCTACCAATAAGCAAGGAAAGATGGTAAGCTTCTTCAAGCCTGATTCACGAGTCATATTGTTGATTCCAGCAGCTGATGCGATGTATAGCAAAACCTGGTACGTGACTACTCGAAACTCCATGTCCTACAAAACCAATATTGACAAGAATAGATCAATTATCGCATGCGAGTTACCCTAAATGATGGAAGACAAATGACTGGCCAGATGTTGGCGTTCGACAAAGTCAGATTTTCCTTCCTTTGCTCAGTACAGTCTTCCCCTTTCTGACTAGTTCTAGCACATGAACCTGGTCTTAGCCGACACAGAAGAATTCCGCAAAGTTAAGAGAAAAGCTGCCAAATCAGCACCTTCTGCACCCGGCTCAGCCGCAGCACAAGCCATGGTCGAATCAGAAGAAAAGCGCACATTAGGGCTCACGATTGTTCGTGGCACAAATATAGTGTCATGTTCTGTGGAAGGTCCACCACCATCAGACCCTTCCGCTAGATTAGGCCAGAGTGCACCTGGAGGAGCACCAGCCACGTTGCAAGCTGGAACGGGTATTAGCAGACCAGCCGGGAGAGGCTTGCCAGCAGGATTGGGAGGACCTGTTGCAGGCATTGGAGGACCGGCACCGCCAAGTGGGTTTGGAGGGTTTCCTCCGGCTGGCTTCCCTGGTGGAGCGCCGCCAGGTTTTGGGAGGGGAGGACCACCGGGAGGAGCGCCACCAGGATTCCAACCACCTGCAGGTTTCGGCGGGCCACCTGGAGGGCCTCCCGCTGGCTTTCAGCCGCCTCCCGGGTTTCAAGGGCCGCCTGGTCAAGGTAGAGGATTTCCACCACCAGGTTTTGGGGGGAGATGAAACGAAGATATCCATCTAGAGGTGGCAGATTGGAAGAACCTAGCTCAAGGCACACTAGAATTTGTCCAATTGCACGGCGGGTATCGGAGAAGCTCGTCTATCCGGATGAGCGCCGGGGCAAGGAAGCCAGCTCCCGCATCAAGGCGTTTGGAAGAGAGACCGGTCCGATGCTGCTATTGGAGGTTAGCATTGTAGCAAGCCTACTGCCGTAGCTGCGATTAGGATGAGTAGTTCTGTGCATAATCCAGAGATCAGGATTTGTTGTTACGTTTTAGAAGTACTCTGTCATACCCTTGTTGTTCAATCTTGGAGACACGAGATGGATGTCCGCTCCGAGATCCCCAAATCTAAACTCCGAAAGCATTGGCCGCCCAACAAGTTGCGTGAATCACACCCATTCTCCATCCCCGACTTTCCCACTTTCCCGGCTGTTCTCCTCTCTTGTACAGCCCCAAGAAATCAGACCGTCAAGATGGCAGTTGCAATCAAAGCCATCAATGCGAAAATACGGTCGAACAAAGTGCTGGATTACTTTTGCTCAACCCGTGAGTCCTCGCAATTCAGTCCGGACAGCACGATTTCCATATCTCCCTGCGATGCAGACTAGAAGCAATTACCATGGAAGACAGAAGCATTCCATTGCTGAGCAGAGGCGAAAGGAGTAGGCAAAATAAGGCTGACTCCGTCTGCAGATTTCTGGGGCCCAGCGTCAAACTTTGGGATCCCCGTTGCCGCCATAATGGATACTCAGAAGGATCCTGAGATGTATGTTGATGGAATTCTCTATTCTACTTCTTCGAATCTACTCCCGCACAAGCATCCACTCGGGGATGTAACCTCTGCAAACAGGATGATCGTCAAATGAACTATGCTTCCACTAGGCGCATGAGCACGCGAGCCTGGCTTCAATCCTCCCTCAATGCGCAGAAAAGGATATCTTACCTCCCGCCTTACCCCAAACCTACGGAGCAAGGCTCTAATCCTTCAGATGGCACGCGCTTGTCTCCTTACCCTTTGTTCACCCCATAGCCACTCCCGAGCCCTTATCAAGATTTTAGCTTACAATATCACAGAATATCTGGCCGCATGACCGGCGCTTTAACGATTTACTCCGGGACTTTCATGCGCTACGCTCTGGCTGTCCAACCTAAAAACTACCTCCTCTTCGCATGTCACTTTATCAATTTCAACTCCCAGCTCATACAAGGGTATCGGTGGTACACATATTGGAAGTGAGTCAAAATCCTATAAATACACATCTAGCCCACTCGTACACCAATGTTTGGTTTTCTGGGACTGCAATAGGAGCCGACGCTGCACTCGACCCAGATTTAGAACGCTTGGATGTATCCCAGAAGCGGATGATGTCCCTCCCAATCTGTGGTCAATGGCAGAGCCGTGCGCGCCAGACCATACTTTTTCTTTCCCATTTCGCTATGCTCATTACACTGCTAACCTTCCTCTTCTTGGGGTATAGTATGGGGGGACGTGAAGCCTCATTAGAAGCGAAAGCTAAAGCTGGCATTTCGGACGCAAAAGCAGAAGCAGAGGGTATGGTGGCGCGGGCGGAGACTTTGGCCGTGGATGCAAAGGCCAAAACTGGACAGGTTGTTGAAAAGGTTAAGGGGAAATTATCGTGAAGGACGAGGAAAAATAGTGGTTTGAGGCCGACGAGGAGGGTTTATGCTGAGAGGGGTTTGGGGATCTGGGGATCGTGTGGATTGGAAAGGACGTTGAAGACCCAAGAAAGAAATATGGTCACTCTCAAGACCAATATCCGATGAATATACAAGTGGCTGCACACTCCATTGGCCATATCAGTCCGTCAATAGTTACGAAAGAATTCAGACGAGGGAAGGGACAGCAGGTACCAGGGAGAAAAGAGATCTGATGTATCACCTATAACACAGCCGCACAACCCAACGCGGCTCTACATCACCACGTTCATCACGTTCACCAGGATTCCTCTTCTCCGAGGTCTGCTTCCTTGTTCTGCCCTGCCGAACTATCCTTATAAGGACCACCGTATAACCTGACCATAGCATAGGTACGAGGTCTTCGCCGACGGAACTCAAAAGCATAGGATTATTCGCTTTGTAAGCTGATGGCTCTGCTATGTATTTGTATACAATTGCCGTTCGTGGCTTATGAGGATGCTTGGCACGCTGCATAAGAAGTCAAAGTTCAGAGACTACAGCAGGCCATCATAATATTATTGATTATTATGTCTCAGGCTATAACGGACTTGATTGTCTTGGTCAATATGCCTGGTTCCTTCGAGTGCGATACATTGCTCAGTGATATCTTCGCCCAGGATGTGAACAGCTCGGCATGTTTGCCAGACGTGCAAGATTGCTGTCATGGCTAGTCGATGTTGCCAGTTTGGCCTTTTGTGTGTCTATGATCTGGATCTTCGTTGCCTATGTCTATCTCGATCTTCCTTACTACCGCAGCGAGATCCTTGAGCTTCCTCTTGCAGAAAAGCTGTCTCTTTGGTCGTCGCTTCTTTTCTTCAAGCCGCTTCCAGAATCACTCCGTGGGCCTTGCCAGTATCTGCCTAACCAGGAATGGATAAGACTGGTGAAGATACACAATGCGTCCGACGGAGGCGTGACTTTCACCCTTGAAAAGTTTCTTCTAAGAGATGTTCCTCCCTATCGTGCATTGTCGTATACCTGGGGGCCTGCCGAAGGGGTGCCCGAGGATCGAGACACCGTCTGGCTTCCACTTCTCGTCAATGGACGTACACGCAACTTGCCCAAGAATCTCGTGCGTGCACTGATTCAATTTCGGGACCTCAAATTCGATGGCTACTTTTGGATTGATGCACTTTGCATTGATCAGCTCGACATCAAAAAACGAAGCGCTCAGGTCAGCATCATGGACAAGATCTATCAGCGAGCAGAAGTCGTAGATGTATGGCTCGGTAGATCATACCCAGACACGGATAAAGTCAACGATATCCTTCGTGAGCTTCTCCGCTTACATGAACAGTACCATGGAACTAGGAAATTCTCTAATGGGCCCATATGGACAGACGGTTCTCATATATTGCCAGAAGTGGACTGGGAAACTCTTGTTCAGATACTATCCAGACGCTTATTCCACCGCGTTTGGACTTTACAGGAATTTGCCCTAGGCACCAAGGTTAATGTCTGGTGCGGCCCACACATCATTGATCTACGACTTTTGCAAAAGAGTGCATAAGTTCTTTCAGAGCACCAAATACCAATGACACCTTCGTACGGAAAGAGTGGCATAGCTGGAACGGTTATCTCACAGAGGTTTTTGCTACAGCAAGCGGTTCACTCGGCGGAGCTTCTCGATTTCGATTTTCTCCCATGTTTCCAGAACATGGGCTCAAATGCAGGCATCGAGTACGAGACCGTCTTAGCATGGGTGTTCTGGCAAAGCACCACAACCTTCGCCACAGATCCTCGCGACTATGTTTTCGGTATTGTCGGTATCGCAAATGCAATTTCAAATAAAAGGGGTCTACCATATAAACCTTTCGAAACTGACTACTCGTTGACCACTGCCCAAGTGCTTCAGAAATTCGTTCTCCGTATCATGGATGGACAGCTTGGAGTTCGAGCAATCGCGCTTCTGCAAAAAAGCAATGAGAACAGAACGCCAGCGCTACCCTCCTGGGTACCAGACTTGGCTAGTCGACAAAGATTTGGCCTGTCAACTAATGGTGGTATAAGACCATCTCAGCCCAGCCATTCATGTAAATCCGTCCATGGACAGTGGCACAGTACCGGTTCACCCTTTTCTGTCCATGGACAAGAGGTCTATCTGCAAAGCCACCACGTTGGAAACATTACCAAGGCTGCGTACGAGTATCCGAGCGTCGTTGACATGATGGGGTGCCCCAATTTTGTGCTGCAACTGATCCCGTTGTTGAATGAATTACCAGACCATTACCCGTGGACGAATCAACCACCAATTGACGTGCTGTTGAGCACTATGTCCCTCGACGATGATAATACAGCGACCTCCGTCAGCACTCAAGGTAGAAGTGATTTCGAAAAGTGGCTCTTCAATAGCCTTGAAGCTCTTTTGTATAGCAAGGCCTGAAATGGTTTCTTGACCCACGACTTCGTTGACCATCTTCACTCCTTCTCCCCATGGACCATCTTTGGTCTAAGTGAGGATCTTCCTAGTATTGCGGTACTACGAAGGATATCCAAAAGCATTTGGTTTGCTTGGAGGGACTTGGACAGCACTGAGAATCACAAGGCATGGTCTGCACAGGTAGCCTTGTGTAGAAAGTTCTCTCGTCAATACCCACGCATACATGGGCAGCGCCTCTTTCTCCTCGAGTCAGAGGAAGGCAAATTACTTGGGTTGGGACCGAATACGTTGGTAATTGGTGATTCTGTGGGGGCGAGTTCAGGGTCGGAGTGGCCTTATATCTTTCGACCTCACGAAGAGCTAGAAAGGGCGCAAGACTCGCCGGAAGTTGAGGAATGCCTCAGGTATGAGTTCGTGGGAGAAGCATACGTTCACGGCATAATGCACGGCGAGCTCTTCCGTCATAATCCTCCCAAGTGGCAGCAGACTGTGCTTCGATAAAAGGATTGAGAGCCCAAGTTACAGAAGAAATCCATGATCTAGCTTTGCTACCTACTCGAACGACATATCCTTCGAGAGAGCGGTAAGGGTTTCTCAAAGGTACAGTGCATCTTTCCCGCCATCCAAGTTTCCTCTGCACAATTCGATATATCTACGAGATCCGTACTTCTTATTTTGGAGTCTGAGAGGCACGGGCACAACAGTCTATGAAGGCCTGGCGCTGTTGGGCCAGACCTGAAATCCTGTTCGTTCCTCCAAGTTTCGATGACATCCCCGGTGTCCGGTGGATGGACGTGCAACAAGCTGAGTCTTATTTTGAAAAGGCTGTTCAATTCAGTTGTTTTGCGTGGGACCACAAAATTATTCCGAAGTATTACAAGGCATATCATTGTATCTGACCGGGGCCAGGTTTCAGACAAATTTGCGTCGGCCTGTACGTACAGCAATGGTCTGAGCAAGCGAGGATATTTAGCGAGACTGTACGGAGTAGCTTCCGTTTCAATTGGTGTCGTCGTGCCAACAATTTTCTCGTTCCGTCCTTATCTGGAGCGCATATACCCGTCTCTACCGTTGACATGTCAAAACGACAACCAGCGTTGCTTGGATCATACACGATGGTTTGTCGAGCTCTCATGCCTCAGCATTGCCATAATGTCCCTCGACCATGCTATTGGCCATTTACTTGTGCATGGAATGGCTGCGTGGCACACTACAAGATACCTTACCACGTTAAATTGTCCCTGCTATCAAGCTACATCAGAAATATCGGAGCTTGAATCTTCGACAAACCATTCAGTGGCTGTTTCTTGAGCGCATGAATCGTTCTATTCCAACATACAGCCAAAAATCTCGAGCACTTATCTGAGTTGGTACAGCACCAGTGCAAAAGTCTAAATGCGAATGCGTTTCAGGGCAAAGGACGCCCCCCGGATGCAAGATCTTAGCATCTAAAGCAATCTGCGATGTGCTGTTGACTGCTACTGTATATTGACCAAATTTGCTGTGCTGTGCCTGTTGAGGAAGAGTAAAGTTTGTTTCTGCAGAGGAAGGACGATGGGAAGTGTTAGACATAACTTGTAATGGTGTTAGCTTGCGGTCTTCGGTCCTGTGGGGCGCAGTACTTGTGGTCCAGCTAACGAGATGCTCGTTTGGTACGTCAATGGATGTAAGGAAAGCATGGGAGTGACATGATTGAGACGAAATACACATGCTATTTTGGTTTCAAAAGAATGCTGCCTATCACTACACGGTGCATGTTGGAGTCGATACCCATCAAGGGGTCTGTCGCAAAATGGCATCTGATCAATGTCACGCCTTGCGAAGTGAATGTCAGATACCGGTATCCCATCCATCTTACATGTTTGCGGACCACATCTATTTGAATTCGCAACAGCATAGAATGCTAGCCTGCTCCATCGTCATGAGTCACTCTCTTACAAGGGTTTTGTGTCTCCTCTCTACCTACACACTAATGGATTAAACGTGGTTTGATGCGTCCCTGTGCTTCGAATAACTGACTTCCATATCTGTCATCCGATATATGCGGCGCGGATCGGTATGCACCAGTTCCATGGTTGGCATGTGTGTACCAACGTGAGTGCTCACTTTGCCATTGTCGACAAGCTCAACGTCACTTTCATAGCTCTGTCCACCAGATGGCTTGGCAGACATCTTGCTCGATCCATAGGTCGTAGAACCATGGGTAGCGGTGCGAAGAGAAAGCAAGTAAATTCGCACTGATTGGGGAACAAGGCGCGCCCACAGCCGAAGATGGTATAAGGGCGCTAAGGTGGGAAGACAGGCACAGATGATTCCGACACAGAGCTCCACCGTACTAGTAAAGCGCGATTAGCACGAGGAGCTAATGAACAGGAATCAGTGGCAAGCAGCCACGAGGATATGGATGTCATACAGCCAGACGATCTCCTCAACAGTGGAGAAGCCGTGATCGAAGTCCCGAAGAGTTTTCATGATGACCACTTGTCGAACAATAGTACACGCAACGGTACTAGCTATACGTCAGCCTATCGAATATGTAATCATCACATGAAATGAACCTACAAAGTACCAGTTGCGAAGATAGCGAGCAGGCCAAGTTTTTGTGATTTCTTCAGATTCAATTTTAGAAGGAGGGGGATCGGCATCACAAGAATGACAAGGTCCGAGAAAACATTGATGCCTCCAACGGCATAGCTGACTTTGATGGTGTCGATGCAAGTGCCACCACCGGTCCACGTGACGGTGTGCCACCCTAGAGCTGGCGGGTTGCATTCGAATGCGTACAATAAGAAGAAGAGCAAAAGGTAGACAACGTTAAAAGTTATCATGACGTAGGTAAAGTATCTAAACTTCTTATTCGGTTGGAATATTCTCAAGTAGAGCATCAAAATAGATAGTTTCGTGAACATGATGCCGAAGAAATACAGCATGTCGCCAATGAAGATGTACTATCGGCCGTCTCTGTCAGCGGGTCCTTTCAATATACAACCACATGACTTTACGCTACTCACGTTCTTTAGATGGTCCCCAACCCTGAACACGTCTTCCAGGGTCAGGTCCCAAATGTGGACCCCCAGAGTGTAGCGTTTAACGTCTGACCAGGGTAAGAGCTGTGCCGAAAGGAATGATTTCCAGCATTACTCACTTAGTACTTCCATCACCACTCGCGCAATGGCGAATGCCTGTTCGTCTGGAGTCAGTGAGCAGTACTTATTGAAAGGTCCCTATGCTCTACCAGAGCTATCACAATAAAACCTGCACGTTGGTGATAAGTCATAGATTTTGTGCCGGACTTTTTGATGTCTCACCATCTTCCCATCCAAGTACCTTGACCACACGCCATCTAACGAAGAGGCGCAGGCACACAAAGACAAACGCAAGGGTTGCGAGCAATGGGTTAGAAATGACAATTTTCTGCCCAATCGATACTGGGTTGACATGATTGATTATTGTACCCGGAGGGGCCAGTGATGATGGGGAAAAATTTTGTCTCGCACGTAGAGGCATTGAGCCAGCAGCGAAGCTAAAGCAAAAGACAGAAGGTAAGATTCTAAGAGACCATCGGGCTTTCGAAGGAGTAGGAAGTGTGAAATGGAAAGCAGGATCAGCAGCTCAGAAGTCAGAACCCGAAGAGTCAGCTAGACGAGGAGGAAAGTGAGGCGGGTACATCGTCGTTGACAGTTGTGGGGGCCAGCACAAAACAAAGGGGAATAGGAAGTGGTAAATGTGAAAAAGGCAATTGGTACCACTGCCCTTTGGAAGCGGCCATGGAGCAATGAGTTCACCTTAGCGACTGACAACGCCACTTGATCAAATTCGCCGGATTCACCAATATGTGACAAGATCCATTCGATGTTCGGACACCACACCACCAACGAATCCCCTCCACCAGCAATGGGAGGGTATGAGTGTGTCAGTTGGCATGATTTTTGCAGCATCTCTAGTCTCTGGCAGCTCTAGCAATTTGCGGCTTGTATGTTTCATTTTTGGGATGGGATATTGTTTGACCTTCACCTACAGCCAAATGTATTTGTTGAAAGTCGGCGACCCTGTTTCGATTATGTGGTATACATTCAGGATCAAGGCAGAATCCCAGGGTTGCTCTTTTGACTGCTTAATTTATGCCAAGGAGATCATAACAACGTTCGTTCGATGATTCATCCAGTCTGAAGATCTGATCAAGCTGCTGTGGACCCCACTCCACCAACATATAATAGCGTTCGGTCGATGCTGATCCCATCTGGAGGACCCCTTAGCCTGTGGTAACTACGCTAACTTAGGGAAGCAGGTGCTATATATATAGCCCCTTTCGCAGGTCAACTATCCTTGTTCTGAAGCCACAAAACAGTACATCTGCAACGGCTATAATGGCAGTAAGCCACCGATCAACAATCAATCAGACTTACACAACACTTCGATTCTGAGGTCTCATTTGCGTATCAGACTGATCGGTCTAATATTCAGTATAAACAGCTTAAGCAGCAGCTCCTCTGCAACATGCGCTAAGAAATTGCAACACTTTTGCAATAGGCAATACTAAAAATTGTATGTCACTAATTTTAACTTGCTGTCACTCTAACTTAACCAACATTTATCGAAATCAATACATGAGTTGAATGATCAGAATCAAGTAATGTTTGTTTACGTTATGTCTATTTGAATTATCTCAGTCAATTCTTTCTCTAAACAGCATCAATCACATTCAAAGTAAATCAATAGAAATACTATGCTCTACGACCCAAAACGCCAAACAATTTCTGGTGCGAATGGGGGTGGTGATGCAAATATTGGTTGGGTACGTTACATCGTTGTATTTCTTGTCTGTCTCATTAATTTTGTCCATCTGTCATGTGTCGAAAGCGACACTGATTATCCTCACAAGCACTCGGGCTAATCAATATAATCAAAAACAACTGGGACAAAAGGTAAATCACAGGTGTTTTGGACGATGCGGCTTCACAAGCCGTACTGTAGGGCGGAAAGCGAGGACCCAATAAAGTAGCAAAATACGAAGTCCGACCAGTTTTCCGCTAGTTATCCGAAATTTTGTCCAGAGTGAATCTAGCTAGAACACCTTACTACAACCTACCAATCTATTTTAAGCTCAACAAATGGGTTTTTTTCCCTTCCCAAGACTCACCCCAGCAAAATATATGTCTTGCATACGCTAGAATCCTTCGCGCGAATTCCAGAACACACTGCCAGTGGTTCGCTTGTTGAATCCTTTGGGGTGTGTTGTACAATGATGGCACTGCCTCAACATGTTGCTTGATATCAGAGTTTGATTTTCCGCCGTATTGGGCTTGCCTTTCAGGATCTGCAGAGATCGCAAGCATCATCCTGCAAAGAAATTCCTGTCCCTCAATGGACAGACTCATCGTCGTTGTCAACACTTTACAGCTATCTGTTACGGCATAATGTCCTTGCTTGGGCAGCTCACACCTCAGCAATGGCAAAATGCTCCGGCATCGCCTCCCCCACCAGGGGTTTTGTCCAACTTTGTTGATCCGCCTAGCCATAAACCTGAAATCATTGCATTGGAAGGGGTCTTCCTCTCTCTCATGTTGATGGCAGTGGCCGTTCGCATTTTTGTGCGATTGCGAGTTATCAAGATGTGGGGATGGGATGACTGTAAGATCTCAAGTTTTATGCGGGTCATCGTGCGGGAAGCTGATAGAACGCAGACACGTGCATAATTGCAGCGGTTTGACATGCCTCAATATATATACCTTTATGGACCTCAACTGACCAGGCTTAGGTCGGAGCTCTGGTGCACATGACCGTTTACATACAGAGTATGTCTAGTCAGGAACAAAGAACTGCATCTATAGCTTACGGATTCAGTGTTCAAGGTGGGATTCGGACGCCATTTATGGGACATACCAGCAGCACAATTGTTCAGCACACGTAATAGACGGGTATGTCACTTCACATCCCTGATGTCCAATGGGTCTTGGTCTCACAGATAACAGATTCTCTCTGCCAATACTATTGTCTACTCATTTACCATCGGCTTCGCCAAACTTTCCATTCTTCTGCTATACCTCCGCCTTTTCAAAGTCGATCGTGGACTTCGTTTGGCCATATGTTTTGGGATCGCAGTCATAGCTATGTATTACACAGCTATCGGTGGTGCCGCCATCGCTTCGATCGTGAAATGTGTGGGATTCGGCCGGCGCTCGGCAGGATTCTGCGATTACTCTGCGAAGCCGGTGGTAGTCATGAGCACTGTCATGAATGTCGTCACAGACTTCTATATCCTTGCCCTGCCACTACCCTGCGTAATGAGGTTGAAGCTCAGTCTCAGGCGCAGAATTGGCGTGCTGATTGTCTTCGGTTGCGGTATTGTGTAAGTCTAGCATTTTGTACTTGAGCCAACTATACAAGCTAACAACCAGAAAAGGACTTGCGCAGCGAGTTTGACGCGAATGATTGTCTTCTTCGTCCATTACGCCGACCCCGACGTCCTTTGGATGCACGGTCGGAACGCCCAGTTCATGTATGTTTATTCCGCCTGCTGTGTCTTGCTTGAAAGGAAGCCTGAATTGATGAGCGTCTCTCTGGCCCATACTCATTGCATATCAGGACCCTGGTTCTGCACTCTTTAGCTGATTGTGATTCTTTGCAACAGTGTTGTTGAGATTAACACCGCCATCATAGTCGGTTGCGCCTCCTGCTTTCCACCGTTCTTCGCCCAGACGAGGATTATGGGCTCAGCCATTTACCACTTCCTCCGTTCCCATATCGGGCCCAACTCACACGGCTCCACCGCATCCTATATATCCTCGAAGAAGCACCCGTCTAAGGCCAGCATAAAGACGTCCAGGAACGACTCATGCCACGATAGCAGGACGGATTTGAAGCCGGGTGGATTTCATGAATTAAGAGACATTGGTCCTGCTAATGGTTTGGCGCATGTCCAGGCCGATTCGCCTACGGAAGTGGGGAAGAGAAGTGAGCGGAGCTTGGTGTAACCAACAAGATGTAAGATGGATGGATTCAATATTGTGAGCAGCACTATATCTAAACCATTCCAGAGGCCTTTGATCTTAGTCCCCTTATACAGCTCAGCGTGCTCTTAATTCCTTCTTCAACCCCGTCACCACAGACGGTAGCTGCTGCTCCAAAAAGAAACTTGATTAGGCCGCGCCTGCTGCACCTGGAGGATCTCTACGCTGTCTATTCGTTTGCTGACCTACTTCCTGTCTGGGAGGTCCTCCAGTTTGGCGAGCCAGTATGCGGCGAAGCTGCTCCATGAGTGCCTCCGCTGCTCGCGCTGCCTGCAGTGTCTGTCCTGCCGCTGCACGCGCGGCGGCGTCATGCGCAGCCACTTGCGTTGAAGCTGCCCGCACTTCAGCTATGATCAGCGCAAAAGATGGCGCTGCCCTTATTACCAACTGTTCCGCCGCTATTTGCATGGTCTCATCTTGCGCCTGCTCTACCTTATTTGCTGCCTGCCAAAACTCTGATGTTGCCCCCTCGGCCTCGGCAGTTGCCCGGTCGCTCTCTCTTTGCGCCCGGCCCGTCTCTAACAGTGCCCGTTCTTCTATTGCCAACGCCGCCGCGTCGATCCGATCTGGCTCCATCCTCTGGACATCCCGAAGCTCTTCCAGCAAGACCTTGTTGCGCGCCATCGCATTATTCGACACGTCAGCAGCGTTTTCTGCATGCTTGTTTGCATCCGCTACCACATCAGCCATAGAACTCAGGCGTTCCAGAAGTGCCTCTATCGGCGTCGGGATTCCTTGTGCTGCGTTTTCATCTGTTTCTGTCCTCTGCCCTCTCCCTGTCCGACGCGAGCCTGCTCGAACACCAAGGCCAGATAATGCTACAGATATGTCATCGGCTGCTTGAGCTGTGGGACGCGTTGGAGCTAGGCGCCTGCGTAGTTG